TAAAAGTTTTGGAATAAATGTTTTATAATAAATGTTATTGAACTAGAACAATGTTGAATTTAACATATTTAACATTCAAAGAAATTTCGAAAATTAATTAATCCTGCCTTAAATAGAGTTTCTGTTGAACCTAAAATAATTTATAAAGATGGCAACAACATTATTACTGATGATGATGTCATTTGTAACAAATTCAATGAATTTTTTCCCGACCCATTAGGTGATAGTGTCATTGACAGGTAGGAATTTATTGCTCCAAACATTCTTTTGGGTACTCGTTTGACCAATTCATTTTTCTGTTGGAGATTAATGAAAGGGAAATCCTCAATATAGTTGATAATATAGAAAACATTTATAGCTTGAGTTGTGATGATAATTCCAATAATTTGTTGAGAAAACGGATCCATCTTCTTGTCACTCCACTGAAATATTTGTTTAATTTGTCATTTCGCTCTAGTGTATTCCCAGGTTGTTACAAGATTTGTAACAACCTGGTGTTTGTCTGTGTTGAGCTCATGTAAGAAAATTCCAGTTTCTAAATCTGGCTCCAAACACATTTTGAATAACTATCGATCAATAACATTGGTTTCATCCATCGCCAAAATTATGGAAAGTTAAGTTATGGAAAAATTGTTTTTACAAAATTGGTTAACTTTTTGAATAATCACCATGTTTTATTACCATTTCAATGTGGTTTTAAACAACGATCTTTAATTGACTTTGTTGTTCATGACATGATTTATTATTTTGTTTCTAATATGGAATTTAGGAGATGCACAGTTGAAGTTTTCGTTGATGAAGTTTTCGTTGACTTTAAAAAAGCATTTTACATAATAAATCATAAATCATTTTTAAATAAGCTGGGCTCCTACCGGGTCAGAGGAAAAGCCTTGGAATGGTTCAAAAATTATTGATCTAATTTATGTCATTATATCGTCATTGGTAATTATAAGTCTGAAGAATTATTTCTTTATTCTGATGTACCTAAGTGTTCCATATTATGACCTACACTTTTCAATTTGTTTATAAACATTGTTGAGTTGTCCACAGTCAAAAATATTTTCTTCATGCTGACGACTCTTCGTTTTAATCGGCATAATTAGTAAATTGAGCAGAAACTTTCCTTCTTACGTTACATTACTTCTTTATTATGCTTTTATTTACTCATACATAATTTACTGACTTTCTTTTTGGGGCTATAGCCCTCTAAGTCATTTAAATCTTTTAATTAAATGTCAAAATTATTATAACATAGTACTTTATAATTTTAAAAAATATCGTCATATAAGTATTATTTCAGTCATCTATTTCAATATATGACTCTTCCAAGATAAGTCAGAATCAACAACTACCCCTAGAAATCTGATTGAAACAGTTTGGTCTAAAACGATTCCAATTACGAAGTTTTATAATATTTATCTTGCCTTTTTTTCATAATGTATCTCCAAATGCTTTGTCTATCTTAGACAATTATAAATATATTAAAAATATCAATTTTAGACATTGTGATGAATTTGATTTTTCATTAATAAAAACTTGTGTTTGTCGCAGTAGTGTTTTGTTTGCAGGCATGCAATTATGGAATCAACTGTATCTCCAAATGCTTTGTCTATCTTAGACAATTATAAATATAATAAAAATATCAATTTTAGACATTGTGATGAATTTGATTTTTCATTAATAAAAACTTGTGTTTGTCGCAGTAGTGTCTTGTTTGCAGGTATGCAATTATGGAATCAACTGCCTCTGCAAGCAAAATTTTGTACCAGTTATGAACGTCTTTTGTTTTTTTTTATTAAACACATAAGTGCACTACTGTTACTATTCTGTTTATATAGTAATTTATTTGAACATTATATTTCGTTTTGATATTTAATTTTGTTTTTTAATTCTTTATGTATATTTTTTCCTGCTTTTAGAGTGGCCATAAAAGCTTGTGTTAAGCTTTTGTTCTTCCGAATAAACTGTTTAATAAATAGATAAATAAATATTAACTTACAAACAGAATGCTGTAGCAAGAACAAGACATATTATTTGTGTACAAAAAATTGTTAAAAAGTTGAGAATGTAGTTTTTTTTGGTGTAATGAGACCAGGGAGGTGCCTGTTAAGCACGACGACGACCCGTTCGCCTATACGTACACCAAAAAAAGATACTAAATACGCATAGTCTTAAATATAATGCATGAAATAAATCAATTAAAAATTATTAAAATGAATAAAATTTATAAAAATTAATAAATATTTATTAATAAACTATAAAAATGTAAAAAGTGTAAAATTTGATGAGTTTGATGAATAATTGTACATGGAAACTAGAGTGATACCAGACTCAAATAATGTGCGAGGGAGCGTTCGAGGGTCAGTATATGTATAATAAATATATGAATGCGACATTACATTTCAACCACTCGCCTTTCTGCATACTTAGTGTTTTTCATTGTATACAAACCAAATATCTGGCTGAACACATCTGTTTCCAAAGCAAATTTTATTTTTTAATAACTTGTTTGCAGTCATGCCTCACATCGTTCAGCGCTAAAAAACATTTGTTTTATAAACCAAATCCTGAAAAAGTTACTGAATTCAAGTGAGTAAACAGTAGTCAAAGTATTTTATATCTAGTCCAACCTCAAAATTCATGTTGATCATGAGAAGCTCCTGGAATCGGAATTTATGCAGGGGTGGGGAACAACCATGAGGAATCGAAGCCTTCAAGTGCTTCAAAAATTATGAAATGTGACGTGAAGTTTAAAGATCGAAGAACAATCAAAAAGTAACTTATTTATGAAACAAAGAACGATATCATCAAAGCTGAAAATCTCTATATACGCGAATACATTGACGTAAATGTTAATAACAAGTTGAATAAGGTGTTGATCGATAGTGGTGTTGATCGATAGTGATAAACCTGAGAAACGAAAAACACCCTGAAGGCAACATGAAAAGCAAGACCATAATGTGTCCCTACCCTGGGACAAATTCTGAATACCTTGTTGTCCACCACAGGACTACGATGATTAGCAGTGATAGTATGTCTGCCTTTGCAAAACTCATTTTTCCAAATTTTTGCAATATCCTTTCTTTATGACGTCATTCGCAAAATCATCCTCATCGTCATCTTATCATTTTATTTTTTAATGTCAGAAAAATAGGACAGCAATTTGACAACGTACAAGGTGTGTGGGTTCAGAAAGCTTATTTCGGATAAAAAGTCATTGATAACCTTGGTACCGGGGTGAAGATTTATTGTGCAGTTATTCCCGATATAGCAAAAAATTTATTACTGACAACGTATGTAATGAAATTGATCAAAAACACAAAAAATTACGGTGAAGCTATTATTATTAGTGATCATTCAAATATCACAGTTTTTTCTGAAAGAAACGCCAACCAGATTAAGTCAACCTACAACAACCATATTTTTAAGTGTTACAACTGCGCCAATAACTACATTCACAACAACCACAATGACAATAACACAAACAATATCAACTACAAGACTAATTATATAAACAGCCTCAACATCAGCCTTAAAATTGCCAGCAACAACAAAATCAAATCAAATACAGTTTCGAAACCAACAATTCTAAAACTAAACATAACACAACCACATTCATCAAAACCCACATTGGCGCCAAAAACAACACCACTCCCGCGAATTTGGTTGTCAATGGCCAATTAGATGTATTATACGGATCGGCATCCAAAATGGATTTCAGCTCCTGGTTTGTGTTCGCATTCCCGAATAGGATTTTATCATTATTTCTTGCGTGGCTGTGGCTTTTGTTCCTCTTCCTTGATTTCAAAGAAATAGTGAAATTAATATCAAAGATTAAAAAAAATAAAAGTGATAAGATGACGATGAGGATGATTTAGCGAATGACGTCATAAAGAAAGGATATTGCAAAAATTTGAAAAAATGAGTTTTGCAGAGGCAGACATACCATCATTGTTAATCATTGTGGTTCCATGGTGGACAACAAGGTATTCAGAATTTGTCCCAGGGTGAATAAACCTTGTGGTCTTGCACTAGGCTGCAAAAGTGAATTAACAAATTTTGGCATCAAAGATTATCGACAAATAAATGAATGAAAACAGGTGAACTACGAAGATACCCTGAAAGAATTATTATTAGAGATCATTTTGAGAGATGATTCATGTTGATTATTCATGACTTGATGATTGATATTTGAATATGACATTTTTGTTTTTACCATTTTTCTTGAGTTATGTTTAGACCTCTGTTGATGATCAATTTTAGAGAATGAACTCTTGCGATTTTCTTGGATTAATAATATATTTTGTGTTCGATTTGCTAAATTTTGAAGTTCTATAAATAAAATAGTTGATTCAATTACTCACGCGTTGCACTCCAGATTTTTGCAAACGCAACTGAAAACATCCTTGGCCATTAAATGAGATGTCCTGTAGACGGGAAAAATAAGGTTACTATACTTTGCCGATCTCAACCGAGCTCGATCAGAAACATCAGGCACTGATTTTATAATTTCTTTTAGATAGTCTGTTGCGTTTCCCGCCAAAATTATCTTAACCGGAGCGCAATTTCGCTTTACAGATGTCTGAAGCTACCTTTTATAACCCTGAATGCAGTTTTGCGAGATGCGCGTTAGCATTCATATATCTGATAAGCTGACTAGGAACTAATTGTTCAATGGTTTTTAAAATAAACGATAAATTGGAGAATGGGCTATAACGGCTTTCAACATCGCGTGATAACTCATGCTTCTTCAATAAAGGTGATATAATCTTTTGAGATTTTGGCAAAATTAACGATTTAATACAACTGTTGATCATGACTTAGAAAAATGGTGACAGTATATCTAATAGCATTTTAATGATGAACATTGGGATTACACACGAATAACAAATGTTTATATAACTTGTTGAAAGTGCAAATCGCTATTTCATTAATTTTGCATTTAACGTTTTTAGAGCATCATTCGCATCATCTTTCATGAAAGACGGTTGCAGTACATGGAAAAAGAACAGCTGGAAACGTGGAAACAAAGTAGACCAGGAGAAAGAATACTGGACATTGGTTTGTTTTTATTCAATGATATAACAATTTATTTCGTCATCTGATTTTTTATAAAATAGCATTAGTTTAACAGCAGCGTCAAAAAAATTAAAAATTTCCAGCATCATAAAAATACCAATATTGTTATATATGGTTATACCGATATATATTTATGAATATGCAGACATACCACAGTCAAATGGATTAAATGATATGCGGATAGACCCCGAACAACTGAGTTGCTTAAATTTTTTGTGGGATTCACAGCAAGAATGTAGTGCCTACATCAAATTAAATGCTATTAGCACTGAATTTACTGCCAAACGACATGGGGGAGAAAAAGGAGTTTCTTTCAGAATTCAGGTTATAGATCACTCCACAAACAGATTGATAACTCAATATAAAAAGTTTTCTATTTAGATAAAAATAACAAATAAGCAAATAAATTTTATATAAAATTCTTAAAAGCTAAAATATCACTAAAAATTAATATTGGCAATTTTTAAAGGTTGAAACATACACTGACACTCAGCCGCCATCAAGTACGGCTCAGCAATGTACGTCTCGCCCAGGTTGCCCTTCTTCAGATTGCACCCCCAAGTTAATTCATTGTGCATCCTGTCAAGTTAAAGTTTTCAAGGTTTTAATCATTTTCCAGAACTAACATAATAGAATTATTTTAAGTCAACTGTTACAAATTTCGTATATGAAAAATTGTTTTCTAAAATTGTATTTGGTTGACAAATTATATTTACAGTTTGGTCAAATTTTCAAAAAGTAATGAGTTTTGAGTCGCTCCCCAACGCAGTGTTGGAGATTTCATCGATGTAACCCATCAAGGCGGAGACTTCGTATGATGGATGATTTGGTGGATGATAGATGGCGCAGATCATGTATGGTGCACTGTCAATAATGCACTTGAGACAAAGGGTTTCCAGTGCATCATTGATAGCATGAGGCAAAACGATGTGAATTTGAGATGAAATGAATGACTTTCAATAGGTAACAACGCCTCCTCCACGCCGCCTCCAGGGTGGTCTTTTCTGAAGGGTGTGTAGCCATCTATTGCGATCAAACCATCAGGGTGATCTGGCTTAAGCCATGACTCGGTGATGATGATAATGTTTGGATGGAGATGATACACATCACATCTCAAATGCTCAATAGCATGTGGCTTGACAATGCTAGTGACATTCATAATGTAGATGGTGGGTGGATGATGACATGGGGTGATTTTGGCTGGGTTGTAAGTCGGAGTGAATTTTGTTGATTAGATTTAGATGATTAAGTGAAGAGCGTCGACTAGGGTGGTTGCTCTTTTACGTGTTGATGAAATTACTATAAAGTACAATTATTGTAGTATATCCTGAGTTTTATTTTATTTGTATCATTAATTGGCGTAACATTTCTTTTTATGATTTGTTTGAGAACGATTTAGTCTATTTTATGTGCCGTTGATATATGATTTCTGTAATATAGGTTTATGTCGTTGTCCTCTATCCAAAGATTACAAATATAGCAAAAATAACAATAATTAAATAATATAGCGCAATTTGATCATTCAGGCGGTTATAACATTACCCCCACCTTAGCCTGTTGATCCCTAACGTAAGCGTTATTTCTTTATTCCAAAGAATAGGGCTAAACTTCCGATGGGCAACTTTCAACTTTGTCCACTTTCTTCTTTGATCTTGGGTCCTATAGGTCACGTCATTTATTCTGTTAATGACCCTGTATGGATCTTTCCAATTTCTTTGAAGTTTTAGGCAACGCCGTGGGTTTTATGGCCAAATGAAGTCATTTTTGTTACCGCTACCGCTTTTGAGGTCATATTGAGTTTTAGTATTTTTCTTGCCTTCTCTCGTTCTGATTTACACGTTCAGGTAGATATTGTCCAATCTTTACAAAAGTTTTTTGACTAATTTCGTCACTGGTTGGAAACTACCAACCATTCTAAAATCCCTTATTTTAATTGGGTTCCCCGATATATTCACTATTTGGATCGGAATTCTCGCTGTCTTTGATGGCCTCTACCAGGCATTTTTCCACCATGATATTCGGTATTTTGGGCGTTGACCTTGATTTCACCAAAATATTTTCTTGGCTCCTGCATTCACTGTTTTTCAATTTTCCCTCAATGATGTTTTCTGACAGACTTGGTGTTACCATATCGCCATCGGCCGTTACATGGGTGCATTTTGTTTCTCGTTTCCCATAACCACTTTTGTGTTTTTACCTCTTAAAACACGCTTTTTCAGATCTATGTGGAAGCCGTACTTCATCATGTCGAGGCCCAAGATGCATTCATCGATAATATCTGCCACCAGAAACGTGCCCCCAACTCCAAGCCTCCCAACTCTACAGTGCATGAATTTTTTCCGTACCAGACGCCATTCATCCAGTGGCAGTTTGAAGTAGATACTTTTTAAATCTTTCTTGCTTTTAATCCATTGCCTTATCTTGTCTAAAAATAGACTTAGTTGCTACTGTATCAATGGCTATCAGGCATTTACGTAGGTCTATTTTTTCTTACACCCAAAGGTCATCTCGGTTGCGATGCAGTTTCGGAACATAAATAATATTGCTGGGAACGTGTGTTTTTTCAGTTAACCTGGGCCCCGCAGGGTTGGCATTAACTGCGGACCTTGAGCTGGCATTTTTTCGAAAGTTGGTTTTCCCCGCATCGTTCCCCGATAAGCGTTACTTTTCAGGGGCCTCTTACAATATTTCCTGATGTGCCCTTTTTGCCCTAGTTTCAGCATTTTTCTGTTGTTATAACAATCTTTCGACACTCATTCTTTTCGTAAATTTGCTGTATTTTTGTGTTTCTTTTAGTAAAAGTCTTCAGCATACCTGTGTCCATATTGTCGATCTAACGCGTCGGTAAGAATCTCAAAATTGTGCTCCACTCGTAGCTGAATTCTGCTGCTTCAAGCTTTAAGCTACTACAGAAATCATATGTCAACGGCACATAAAATAGATGAAGTCGGTCTCAAACAAATCATAAAAAGAAATGGCAGAGGGCAGCAGCAACATCACATGTAATCATATGTCTAATATGTCTTATTGCGCAGAGGTGATAGTTGCAGGATCTGACGATTTCTGATATGTGTTTATCAAAATTTAGATGTCTGTCAAAAGTGACCCCAAGCAACTTGATCGCATCCGAGATAGGCAATGTGGACCCTGCTATGTCCATTTCCTCGAACTGAAACCTCGGCAGTTGTTGATGTGTCCCAATGACCATAATTTCAGATTTGTTATGGTTGAGAAGAAGGAAATTATTAGCATACCACCGATAAACTTCGCTAGTACAATTGCTTAAGACTCGAATGCTGCTTTCAAGATCGCCAGAAGTGACACATGTATGCAAATGAGCATCATGGGCGTAGTGATGAGAAAATAATCCATTTTTACTAAAAATATCGCTAACAGGAGACACATAGGTAGTGAACAAGATTGTACCGAGGACGGAACCCTGAGGGACTCCAGTGTCGATCAAGCAGGTAGAGGAAGTATGGTTTCCCAGCTTCACAAACTGCTGTCTGCAGCTCAGGTAAGATCTAATCAGTGATAGTGCATGACCATCCACCCCAAACTCTTGTTGTAGGCGTTCGAAAAGAACCGAGTGACTGATGGCATCAAAGGCAGCGGAAAAGTTGAGCCCAACTGCAATGATTAATTTTCAGTAGTTGCCAGCCTAATTAAAAATATTATCAGCAATGTGTAGCAATTCAGTCTCAGTGGAATGATGAGAACGATAAGCAGATTGAAGATTTGGATAGTTATGATTAGACGTTAGGTGAGCACGTAGTCTTAGCAATATGACGCGCTCTAGTAGCTTTGAGAATGTTGATAAGTTTGATATAGGGCGGTAATTTGACGGGTCATCAGGATCCAAGGATGGTTTTTTCAGTAGTGGTAGAACCTGAGCAGTTTTATAAAGTGAAGGAAAGCATCCCGTGCTGAAGACAGAGTTAGTCAGCTTGACCAGAATAGCTGCTAAGATCGATGAGAATTGCTTTAGAATTGAGGTTGGAATAGGGTCAATGGGTGATGTTTTGTTTGGTAGAGAGGCAATGAGTTTAGTCATCTCATCACAATCAGTATCAGCAAATTGAAGAAAAATGTCGCCTTTATATGGACGAGCAGGGAAAGTGACAGAGGAGGATTTAGAGATAGCGGTGAATATTGAGAGATGTATTTTTTTTATTTTTTCCTGAAAAAATGTGCTGAAGGAATTAACCAGCCTTTTGCAATCTGCATCACTATAGCGATGGACAGGGTGGCTGTGAAGAACTTTGTTAGCCAAGCGCCACAGGAAACGATGGTTTGAATTTGATATACCAAATTCAGAGCTTATACAGTCCGCTCTAGATTTGAAGATGACGGTTTTAGCTACGTTTTTTGCAACCCTGTAAGCATGTTTTACCGCGTGACGAGAATCCAGCCGCAATTTTCTTTCTAGGCGTCTACACTCTCTCTTTGCTTGACGTGCTTCATCAAAAAGAGTGAAGATATGTTTTTGGCCACGCCTGATGGTAATAGTTTTTAGTGGAGCGTGTCGATCCAGCAAACTTTGCAAATTCCGATCAAGGGCTGAAGCCAGCATATCAGGATCCAGTGAAGCAGAGAGGATAGAATCAACAACAGCTATTAAGTCAGATTGAAATCTGTTTAGGTTAATGCGATGTATAGGTCTATATGTACGAGTTTCAACTAAGGGCGGAGTACTGAATGTACATATGTTCACAAGAATGATTTTATGGTCAGAGTAGGTGACATCTGATGATCTCACGTCTTTTATGCTGTCGGAAAACAAAGTCAAGGTGGTGATTAGATCAAGAGTCGGTGTGTTGGAAAGCTTACGTATTGAGACAAGTTATTTTCTTTCAGAAGGGAGGAGAGACGCCCGCTACTAAGACAGTTGAAATCGCCACAAATTATAAAGGGAGATGAAGATAAATGTATGTAATTTATCAAAGTCTCCAGTTCCTCAAAAAACGAATCAACAGTCGGACCAGGAAGGCGATAAAGAACGGCGAAAATAATAGCCGACTCAGGGCACACGAGCTTGGGGACAAGCTTGGTGTGAAAATACCAAAATCTAGCGCTGAATGTCGAAATGTTGCCCGGTATACAACAGAGATGCCACCACCACGCCGATCAGGCCTATGATAATGTGCCACAGAAAAACCAGGTGGGGCAATATTCAGCCTCACTGAATTGGGTGCGTCAGATGAGATCCAAGTCTCCGTGAGTGCCAGTATGTCAATGCCATTCTCGACAATGATGTCATGAAGGAGAGCCGCTTTATTGACAGCCGAACGAGCATTCAGAAGACCCAGAATTGTTTTTGTAGAATTTTTATGAGATCCATCTACTGCAGACAACGAGTGCTTAAGCCTGATACGACCCTTCAGAGGCCTCCAGATTCTCAACCGGAACAAAATTTTTCTAGCGGGTCTAGGGATAGGTCGCGAGATGGCTGCAGGTTCCAGTGAAAGCAGCTGCGCGGTTGTGTATGCAAATGTCATCTACAAATAGAAAATGAAAGATATGTATACAATTGTGTGATTGATGTTAAGATAAAAGAATAGAACAATAATTAATGGAATAGTCGACAACAACAGCGACGTTCACAACTTGGATTTTCCGATCGATGTTGACAACATCATCGTGACTGGTGACGAACCAGTTTTCTAGTTGTGGAAGCGAGGAAATCGTCGACAATTGTTGTTTGATTGATGTTTATGATAATTGTCGAAAGCTGTGGCGTAACTGTCGATGGCAGCGAGGAGATCGCAGACGATTGTTGTTTGATTGACGTTTATGCTGATTGTCAAAAGCCGTGACGTAACTGACAATGGCAGCGAGGAAATCTTCGACAATTGTTGTTTGATTGATGTTTATGCTGATTGTCGGAAGCCGTGACGTAACTGACGATGGCAGCGAGGAGATCGTCGACAATTGTTGTTCGATTGAAAGAAACGGTTGAAAAAAATAAATTTGTTCTAGATTGAATAATTTAGTTGTAACGGACAAGGTACATAAGTTAACAATGTTGATAGATTAAAGCCCGCACTATGTACATATGTTAATTGTAACGGGTTCGATATTAACTAAACGCAATGACAGATATATTATTAATCCTCCTTTATTAAAACCTAACTAAATAATTAATTGAATAAATCAAATTAATGAAAATGCAACGATACAATAACCAACTTTACTAATGTCGACTCCGGCGCAAGAGCCGCAGAAAAGAAAGAGGCTTAACTTATTTGCGCAGGCTATTTATTGACTTGCACGGTGCTCTCTCCTAGGTAAGCGCTTATACTTTGTTCTAGTAACCAACCCACGTGACCATACGGCGCTCTCCCCTAGGTAAGCACGTGCTTTGTGCTAGTAACTAGCCCACGTGACCATGTAATGAAATAATTTCCATTACATACCTCCAACGCCTAATAGGATGAATGTAACATTCATCACACATACAAAAATAAAAACTAAACAAAACAAAAATCAATGTCCAAAAATGCAATAAATATTTCTTGACTTTTATATCCTGGAGGAAAATTTGGCAACATTACGTGCACCTGGACGATAACAGAATTGTGTATTATACTCTTGATTTTGAATAAGCAAATCCATGATCGGAAATTTAGAATAGCCTAAACTGAAGTGGTCTTTGTGCCTCTTTAACTCGGGCATTGTATAGTCTGGCATTGGCACGGCTTCGCATCTGATGTTGCTGGTGATGTTGGTCACCACTTCTATTTCTTGATGGATCTGATCTTTCTGAGTCCTGTCTGACTCTGGTCATATAATTCATTGGGGGCCTGTTCGATTAAAAATGAGGTTGCATTTGACTGTTGAGATGGAAGCTTGGCCCCGAACCGAGAAGGGGCTCAACTTTGAAATCTTCCAGTCTCTGATACTTGCTGAGCCATCCCCTCAACCTGCCATCGACCAGCACATGCTTCTTTGAATCTTTGTGGAAGAATTCAGGGCGAAGAATTCAGGGCGAAGAATTCATCTCTCAATTTTGTCGGATTTAACCTGAACTCCTGCAGAATGAGTCTTTTAATTTCGCTATAATCCTTCAGACCGTCGGCAGAAATAGTATGCAACCATGTTTTGGCCTTTTCGTTCAAACTCATTATCAACAAATTGGCTTGAATTTCTCCGTCTACGCGATAGTTTCGCAAAATTTTTTCTACGTGTTCAAAGAAAGCAGGATTATCTCTTGGCTTTAACGGACAAGTTCCTATCAGATGTTTTAAAGACTCCGCGAAAAATCGAGTCTGTTGCATTAGTTTTATTGTGTTATTATCCTCACTAGCCTCATTGGCCACTCTTCGATTATTCATACCTTCTACCTCTAGTCGTCGAATCTCTAATTCTTGGCTCTTAAGCCGGAATTCGTCTTCATCTCTTTCAGGCTGTCTGGCCATCTCTGCTTTTTTAAGCTTATATTCCCTCTCATCTTTTTTCGTTGTCTAACAATCTCCGCTTCTCAAAGCTTATATTCCATTTCTAACTGTTTTCTTTCGTATAAGGTCGATCCACCTTCAGTATCTTCCAACACAGCGCTCTCCGTCGCAATACTGCATGGAGAATCAACGCGGTCCGCCAAAATTGTTGCCCACGTTTCTAACAGCTGTGAAGCTGTGATCTACTCATCAATCGCACACTGGCTTCGTCGATTGACCTCTTCAGTAGTTTCTTCGTTATCTGTTCGTTCGACAGACGTTGTAATTTTTGTTGTTTCGTCTTCGTCAATCGATCCATTGTAATTTTGAATTATCAACTTACAACAAACGTACAACGAATGCATTAACTTATAACTAGGTATTTAATTAATTTTTTATATGAATGTCAAAACGTCCTATTAGTTATTTAATTATTCAATTATTGTCGTACACCAATTAAATAACTACCCCACTTCTGGTACCAATGTAACGGGTTCGATATTAACTAAACGCAATGACAGATATATTATTAATCCTCCTTTATTAAAACCTAACTAAATAATTAATCGAATAAATCAAATTAATGAAAATGCAACGATACAATAACCAACTTTACTAATGTCGACTCCGGCACGAGAGCCGCAGAAAAGAAAGAGGCTTAACTTATTTGCGCAGGCTATTTATTGACTTGCACGGTGCTCTCTCCTAGGTAAGCGCTTATACTTTGTTCTAGTAACCAACCCACGTGACCATACGGCGCTCTCCCCTAGGTAAGCACACGTGCTTTGTGCTAGTAACTAGCCCACGTGACCATGTAATGGAACAATTTCCATTACAGTTAATAATGTCGATAGGTATTATATTTGAGAAAGAATGTTGTAACTGTTGACAGGCGAAGCTAGGTTAATTACGGCTGAAAGCTGATTGGTTCAGGAAGGCGATTGTAGAACATGTGCGTTACGTTCATTGATAAGGATTTATTAGTTCAATTCGCAGCTGACATTTGATTGGCTGAGGAAAGTAGTCTATGTGTAGAATTGCAGGTGAAACACACAATACACTCCAAACACCGTTACAAACCACCTCGAAAACCACAGAAAACCACAATAAATTTCACCAACCAATAATCCGCTGTGTCGCCAGGACCAGTAACACCACCTCCAAGAAAAAACTCGTGAAACAACGACCTCTAACAATACAAATTATCGAAAAACGATAGAGCTTCGCTAAAATACGCAGTCGCGAGACAGCGCAATAGTATAAACAAACCTTTGCGTTTTTTCAAATTAATTGATAACATTGATGATATTCCTGCTTGAATTGTACTCATTAATTCATGCATGTTACAGTATATCATCATTTACGTATCAATGACAATTGAATCCTGATGATATTACAGTATGGACAATATCTGCAGTATAAAGTAAATATAATGGAGATCCGAGGATTGATCTATGTAATAAAACTCTCACTAACAATAACGAAGTTTTATCTGTAATCGGTTGACCAAATACTATTTAAACAAGGTTAAGGGCAATACAGTACATACAATATGACAAAGAAAGTTTTACAAGCAGCTGGTTGTATTTGACTGTCAAAAACAACTGCAACATTAAGTTGAAATTAGAAAGATTGAAAACTAACAAATCAACTAGCCTTGCAAATATGGAAATTCTTGACGTTACGACATAAACCACAATGAAGTTGTGTAATCAGCTACTTTGAAATTGTTGTTTTAAAATTAACTTTGAAACAAACATAAAGTTTGATACAAGCTGCTAATTTTTTCTATCACTAGTGGTCACATTTTTGGTTTAATAGCTTTCTTTACTTTCAACCAAATGTATGCATCAAATGTTTAAAATTACATTAAAATGTTGGAACGTTTTATTAAATTCATACTAAATTTATTATTTTTCTATATGCTTAATAACTGAAGCTTTTGTGTGTTACAATTATATCAAATTAATTACATTGTACTTCAATTTTTATCAAAAGTAAAATATTTTAAGTGCATAAAATAAATATTTTTATTTTCAAAAGCCTAAAGGAGCTGATCGAAAATACAAAACAGACAAAGAAAAGATCGAAAAAAAGAGTGAATCTGAGAAAGTTTGTTTTAAAACTTTTGTTAAATAGTTTTTGTATCAAAATAATTTATAGTCAGAATATTGAAATTCTAAATTTGCAATATAATTATTAAAAAATTTATTAAAAATATTTTGCAGGAAAAGTATCAACCGTCATTTGAGTACACAGTGTTATCCGAGGTTAATATTACAACGACAACGTATAAATGTGAAACTATTTTGTTTGCAAGTTTGTCATCTGTAATAAGGCTCTGATGAATCAAATAAGCAGCGAGCAGTGATAAACTTGATTAATCATTCAATTAAACAACCACATGAGGCTAATGTATATCAATATTTTGTAACAACCTGCCACGTTATGTCATGTTTTTTTGTTTTGTTAGTAATATGGCAGACTATTTAAAATTAGAATAAAAAATTTTTTATAAGAAAATTTATGAAAAAATTTTAAGGACAGCTAAATATATAATAACTAGCCGACCCGGTGTATTCGTAATGTCTTAAAAATATTATGTTTTGTGTTATAGTTTTTGAAGCCATTAAGGTAGAGCAAGTCACATCGTATCAATATCTTGGAAATGTTCTGAATTGTACTGGAACAGCTGAAGCTGCCGTTCGAGCACGCATACGTGCAGCCTGGAATAAATAGAATCTCCTTGCCTCTATATTGATGCGGCGTGACATCCCACTACCAATACGATCAAGACTTTATAAATCTGTGATACGTCCGGTGTTGTTATATGGTGCAGAAACATGGCCAATGACAACCAAACTGGAACAACAACTTTACCAAACCGATATGAAAATGCTCCGATGGATGCAACGAATTAGTCTGAGGGACCACATCAAATCTACCAAAATCCTGCGTTGTGTTGGTTTAGAGGATATAAAGGACGAATGCCGGCAACACCGTCTTCGGTGGTTTGGTCATGTCAAACAAAATAGGAAACAGTGCCATAACTTCTCTTGCAGATGTTGAAGTATCTGGCACACGTTCCAAAAGCCGTCCAAAGAAGTCCCGGTCGCAAACAACCGAGCAAGACATGAAAGCTCTAAATTTAAACGAAATGGATACAACTGATTGTCTAATTTGGCGCAAAAAATTGATGGGAAACTGAGACTCTGGACGCTAAACAAAGATTGATAGATTGATGGACGAATGCCAGCAACACCGTCTGCGGTAGCGGTGGTTTGGTCATGTCAAACGAAGTGGAAACAGTGCCATAACTTCTAGTGCAGATGTTGAAGTACCTGGCTCACGTCCCAAAGGCCGTCAAAAAAAGTTCTAGTCGTAAACAATCGAGCAAGACATGAAAGTTCTAAATTTAAATGAAATGGATACAACTGATTGCTTAATTTGGCGCAAAAAGTTGATGGCAAAGAAAACAACGTCTTACCTCCGGAGAACTGGGTCTCTGGAGGCTAAACAAAGATTGATTGATTGTTTGCAGCTTTACCTTGTTTAACATTAAACTACTCAATCAATCAATTAAGATAGTTTTTAAAGCGTCATTTCCGTTATGTTTAACAACGCTCTTCGATGAATCTAATAAACAGATGGGTCTCGAGATCCGCTCTGAATTTCGCAAGCAAAGTGTCGGAGTCGGAGATTTTTGCCGGAGTCAGAATTTTATAAGAACGATTTAAGAGCGAAGTCAAATTTTTTTTTCCGACTCCGGTAAATGTTATTTATTTTTAAAAAATTTTAATTTTGAAATTTAAAAAAAAAAATTTTTTTAATTTTTTCTGAAAATGTTTTTTAGAAGATAAATATTTGTAGCAATAAGCAATTATCTTTAATACTGAAAATAAATGGTATTAATGTAAATAAAATCGCATAATTTATTTCTTAGTATGTCGTAAAACATACAAATAGAGTAATTTTACTGAGATAAACAATTACTATGACTGATTTAATGTGTCTTTTAGAGTATTATTCATCTACTTGTGATAATAATTATGATACAAAAGTTGAAAATTTTTTCTGGAATTTGGAACCCGGAATCTTTTTTCTGTTCGAATACTAACAAGCGCCGCCGCCACCAGCCGAGGCAGTCTCGCTTTTGGCCGGGACTCGCTTCTTCACAAATATTTATTTCCGGGTCAGAAAACACGGGCCGGACGGAAACCGCTGACAAGTCTTTTTCATACATGTTTTATATTTTGAGCAAGACAAACAAAAGATAACTGAAATAAATTTATTACAAACTATAACGAAAGTAAACTTACTCTGCAAAATAAATGTTTTCCAAATGTTCCAAACTAAATAATAATTTAAATTAAAACGGCAACAGGCACAGTAACTAAATTCAGAAACAAACCCGCAGAACAATATCACCAATTACCAAAATGAATGACCAACACCTAACACGCCAGGAACTACCTCTAAAAACTACACCAAACACTCTACCGAAAACTAACTTCGAAAAACTGCCCAAAAAACTAACCGTCTGAAAAACTAAATGTCTTTTCAAAAAAACAATTGTCCAAAATATTTATATATTAATTCACGCGAGCAACCATACACTCTCAAATATTTCGTCATACAATAACCATAAAATCCATTCACACAACATTCCACCAGCATGCATACAAAACCAGTTTAATCAACGTTTTACTAGCATGCATACCAGACCACTCCATACAACAAGAGTACTAAACCAACCAACACTCACTCATGAAACATTCATTCATAAATGCGCGCCAAAAAACTTCACAAAATCTCCCACCCAATCAAACGTCGTCCCGACGTTTGCTGTCAAAAATCTTCGTTAGTTCTAGGCCCCATCTTGACGGTCTCTTCCTTTCCCTCCTTCTCGTTGGTGCAGCGATGCCTGATATCACGATGTGCAACTCATTATCTTCTTTTGCCCACTCCGGAGTGCTGATAGTCGAGTTCGCCTGATCCGTTTGGTCTGTAGGAAAGAGCATTTCGCCTTCCAATATCCAGTCCACCAGCGATGGTTGGGCGGCAAGGCAGCGTTCGTCGGCTAAATTTTCCGCCTCCCCACACACAGGCTTCTTCCGCCTGTTACTTTTGTAGTTGACACTGGCAACTTGTCTCGTTGGGCTTCGTGGTAGCTTTGGTCCGTCCGATTCCTATCCTGTTTTGATTGCTCTTTTTTATTAGGCAGTTTGATGGCTACAAACTGGTTCGACGACCAACTGGCTTTGCGTGCCATTCTCATTCGCTGTGCCGGTTCCTCCGCACAGTTTTCTAGGGGAAAGCTCGAGGTCAGTGCTGCGACCAGTTTACTCATTGCCGCCCTCGCGACTATGTATACTTTCCACATTTTTCTGACGGAATATCCGGGAAAAAATTTTCAGAGCGTTGACCGTCTTCTCCGGTGTATCGCTCTCGCAATATGGGATCGATTTACCTAGTGACATTAGCTGGCTGTCCGGCGTTCTGCTTCCAGCCCCAGTGCCTTAAGTGCACCTGTCAAAGTGTCGCTTGTGGTTGCGCGCCAACATTCTTCTTTTACATTTGTTTCACTGTTTTATCCTACTTAAAAAAAATATGAAAAATAACAAAAATAAAAATAACAAATGAATCAACATAGCAATTTTAATTTGTTTATGGGACGACAAATGGTTTAGCTCTGTCGTTTTTTTATTGCTGCGTTGACTAGAGGAATTAGATGATCCACTAAATATAGACCCTCGTATGAGCTGATCCATTTCGGAGATCTGCCTTGCCAAAACCTAGGGTACAGGTACCATATCTTGTCTCCCGGCCATAGCGTCAAAACTTTGACTTTGGCATCGTACAACGACTTCCTATACAATGCGCCGGTTTTTAAGCGTTCACGAGCCAGTTGATGAGCCATCAATGACCGGTTGTGCATCTGTTTTACAAACTCGGGGTAGGACTCTCCTAGGTTGGCTTCCTTGGCCAGATCGACTGGCATCATACTTTTCCTTCCTAAAAATAATTTATTTAGGGTAAACCCTGTCGCCGAAAGTACACTCGCTCGATACGCTGCCATTACTTGTGGTAAATGTTCATCCCAATCACTTTCTACAACTTTGGCCAGCATTGAGTAGCGTTTTGTGGAATCGTTCTATCTCCCAATTGGAGGATGGATTGAACAGTGATGTTCTCAACTTTTCGATCACTAAAGTATGTTAAAGCGTTGTAAACAGTTCGCTTTCAAATTCCTTACCCTGATCTATGAGTTATTTGTAGCGGCATTCCAAATCTCGGAAAAATTTCCGCGGTTAATATCTTTGACACAGTAACTGCTGTGTGCTTTCGTAACAGAAACGCCTTTGCCCACTTTGAAAAGTGATCCATAATCGTTATTATAAAAATATGCCCCATTTTCAATTTTAGATGCGGCCCGGTAATATCTAGGGCTACCCTTTCCCAGGGCAGACCGGATAACATTATCTTCATTTTTGCTCGCCGTGGTGACTTGCCCCGGTGATATCGATTGCATTTCTCACAGTCCCAGACAAACACCTCGACGTCGGTTTTCCATGTTGGCCAGTAAAACCTTCGTTGGACTGATTCTTTTAGTTTCTTCACGCCTAAATGTCCACCTGTCATACCTGTATGAGAAATTAACAAAACTGAGTTAGTCATGTTTGCCGGCACCAGGGCCTACCAAATTATGTTTCCCGTTTCTACTATTTCGAATCGCCTACATAAAACTCTGTCTTTGATTACTAGACGGTCCTATTGGTTCTAAAGCGTTTTGAATGTCCTATTTTCACCTGAGGCGGTATGGCAGCGTTTTCCTGTAAAAACTTTGCAAAAATCTGGATTGTCTTATCCGCAGATTAACTCTTTTTAGGTCGTTAAATTCGTCTGCTTCTTTAACCTGTTTTACCACCCATGTTTCAGGTTTGCAGCACTTCTTTTTACACAGTTTCCGGGACATGGCATCCGCATTCCCATGTTTTGTACCTGCCCTGTGGATAATATTAACATCAAACTCCTCCATTTGTTCCAACCATCTTGCCTGTTGGCCAATGGGGTTGGGTGCGTTTCTTAACCACGTCAACGGCGCATGATCTGTTCCGATAGTAAAATGCTTACCCAACAAATATTGCTTGAAATATTGTAAAAAATAACCAACTGCCAGCAACTCTTTTCGCGTAGTGCAATAATTTTTTTCGGCCAAACTTAGGGTCCGACTGGCGTATGCAATTACTTTATCTTTGCCGTCTTGTAACTGCGACAATACTGTTTCCAATGGTCTGCTCTGAAGCATCCGTATCCAGCACAAAAGGTCTCTCGTTTTGCGGCATTGCTAAAACCGGCGCAGTCGTTAGTGCAGCTTTCCGCTCCAATCCCAGCTGAATTTTTTTTTTTAAAGAATGTTCAATGGTTTTGCCAATTTTGAAAATCCATGAACAAAACGACGGTAATAACCAGCTAGGCCTAAAAACCCTCTAACCTCAGTCAAACAAGTTGGTATGGGCCAGTCCCGGACAGTCTCAGTTTTTGACAGATCTGTTGCTATCTCTTCCGAGAAGATTACATGTCCCAAAAATGTAACGGCTCTCTTGAGAAATCCACATTTTTCTATCTTGACTTTCAGTCCCGTGTTTCTCGACCTAGTAAAAACTTGCTTTAACCTAGAAAAATGATCCTGCAAATTATTAGAATACACAGTAATGTCATCGATGAATGCTAAGCAAGTATTCGGACACAGGTACTAAAGCACCCTATCCATCAGACGCTGAAAAGTGGCACCCGAGTTACATACTCCGAAGGGTATTTGCTTGAACCTAAAAATTTTTTTGTTGCAAACGAAAGCAGTTTTATCCCTGTCATTTAGATGCTTTTCTATTTAGCGATACGATAATTTCAGGTCTAGCGTAGAGAACCACCGTGCACACGACATCGCGTCTAAACACATGTCTATCCTTGGAAGTGGGTACGCGTCCTTATACTGTTAGCAAATTTAATTTGCGGTAATCAATATAACATCGGTATGAGCCATCTTTTTTCTTTACCAAGACAATATTGGAGAACCAAGGACCATGAGCTGGCTCGATTATGTCCTGTTTTACTTGTTCTGAAATGATTTTTTTATGTGCCGGGGGATGTCGTCAGAGTTGTTGCTTTATCGGCCGGGCCTGCTCTGTGTTGATCCTATGATAAACCCTTTCTGAAACTTCAATTTCTATACCTGTATCACTGAAAACATCAAGAAAGTTATTTAATAATTCAAATTATTCGCGCCTTTCTTCTTCGGAGGCTTCCCTAGTCAATTCGTCAATTATATTTTTGACGTTAGCTAGATTTTCCTGTCGAAGTTATTGATCTAACTTATTTTTCACCGTGGCTCCTGAAAGATCGGCCAACCGCGTTTCCTGTTTAATCAGATTGAGTTCGTCATTTAAGTTTAATACCCTGACGCATTGACCATCGTATTTCATCGGAAGCAGCGTCCTAGCTACATATACACCCATTTCAATTGCCTTGCTTCAGAACATACGCAATTTTTCCATGTTAATTTGGATGGCTGACGTACCACCAATTTTGTCAGTACATCTAATTCGGCTAGTGCCGAAATTTTCACTTTTACACTGGGGTAGATTTGGCACAGTCACCCATTTGACGATCCTTTAGCGACAAACTTCACCACTCTATTTTTGTTACCAACGGTAACCCTTGCTTTGTCAAACTTCCATGAGACTTTATTATTTACCAGCCAATCTAAACCCGGGATAATTTCTGACAGGTGGTCTGATATCAGGACTGAAGCAAGTTTAGAAAATCCACCCACTTTCATCCAAAGTTCTATTTTCCCCTTCATTGGAATCTCTGTATAGTTAGCAGCTTTCAACGATTTTTTGGTAGGTGTGACCCTTGTTACGTCAATCATTGAGGACGGAATGATGGATACGCTGCTACCGCTAACCATCAAGCCAAATCTTTTTTTACCATTTACCATGATCGGCAAAAAATAAAGTTCGGTCGTCAGTTTCATTAGATTTGTTCACGCTTTCCTAATGTTTATTTAACTTTTCTTTCTTTGGGCATTTTCTTTTGAAATGGCCTAATTTTCCGCACCTGTAACAGTTATTTTGACTCTTTTGATTGCCTGCCTGAAATTTGTGTGGTGTACTTCTCTGAGGGCATTGCGAGACGAAGTGTTTTGGTTTTCTACAGCCAAAACAAACCTTTTCACCACTGGCCTGAGGAACCGTTGTCCTTACCCCATGGTCTCGAGGAACGTCAAGCGATTGACGAAGCGAGTTCATTTGCCGCTCCACTGCCTTCATCCTGTCTTCCGTTGAGTCCTGCATGTTCATAACTTGTGGGATTAGCCTGTAGGATGAATTAACTAAATTCTTTGAAACTTCAAGGTGCTGTACAATTTTTAACGAAACATAAATATTTTTTGGTCCTCTTTCTCTAACTTTTAGTTCCAAATCAACGTCATTGAGAGCAGATAGAAAAAATTTTTTGTCAAATGTATTGCCAACTTTGACTGTTTGCCCGGGTAAGCTAACGACATTAACTTTTTTACTGTTTGTGATAATTTACGAAGCGACTCCCCCAGTTTGCGTAGAAGAGTCTGCAACTCATACCTATTCGACTTCTCGCTCGTGACCACTAGTTCTATAACGGTTTTCGAACTTTGCTACTAATTCTCGATAACCCAGTCCTGCTAAGTCCCAAAGAACTTCTGCAGCTTCACCTGTTAGCAAACAAGACTAATACGTTTCCATGTCATCCAGACTTTATTGGTTATACTTGTTTCCATGTTATCCAGACTCCATTGGTTATACTTAGCACATATCTCAAACTTTTTAAGAAAAGTCTTAAGACGGGGTGCCATCAAACCTGTCTGGTTTCAACAACTCATAATGTCGAACCAACCTGTCACGTTTGGTATTTACATTCGGCTGACGATGCAGTGAATCTCCCTGGTCGCCGGACAAAGGATTGTGTTCGACTTCATCTTCTTACACCATTCTGCACCAACTCCTGGAATTTATAATATTATCACGTTTTTGAATAATAGACGGTCTTTGTGCAGGCGTCGGCTTATAAACCTGTAAAACATGTTCTGGAACCTGTGAAACATGTTCTGGCACGGATTCAAATGTTCTGCGCATGGTTAAGTCCTTCACCCAAAATCCTGGTGAAGTTTTACAAACATTCGTCCCTGGTGCTGACTTTTGGCCTACCTGATACCTGGAATTTAAATTATTTTCCGTAGGACCAGCCCTGTCACCTAAAAAATTTGGAAAAGTTTCATTACGGCCCCTATCGTTCCTGTCACCTAAAAATTGAGAATTAAGAATTTCACTTCGGTCATTGCCGTACGTGTCACCTAAAAATTTGGGAAACACAATTTTACTTTGACCAATGATATTCTCGTCTTCTAAAAATTGACGAGGATTATCACCTTGACTCCTACCTTATCAGTCATCTAAAAATTTGGAAGAAAACATTTTATTTTGACCTGCAATGTACCCGTCCTCTGAAATTTGACGAGCAACATCGCTTCTGCTGTTCCTGTCACATAAACTTTTGAAGAAGAGGCCCCACGTTGGACGCCAATTGTGACCTTTTGCCGCGCGGCAAAATCTTTTCTCTGTTCAAATATCAGCAAACGCCGCCGCCAGCTTAGACAGTCTCGCTTTTGGCCGTCTCAGACAGTCTCATCACAAATGTTTATCTCTGGGTCGCTTGCCAGTCGGTCAATCCAGCCTTACTAACCGTCATCACCGTCGTCATCATCAGTGACGAATAAAAATTCATAATCTTCGTCATCATCAGCAGTAACGAAAAAAAAATTCATCACCGTCGTCATCACCAACGTCGAGATAAAAAGTATCGTCAGCAAGAAAGAAAGGAGAGAAAAAACAAATCAGCAATTTTAGTATTAACGATTCATCATTCAACAAACAATTTAAAAAAGGAAAGAAAAGTTAATCATTAATTTCCGACCCTGCATTCCAAGTCGATCACACCAAAAATGACGTTATAGTTAATCGGCAGTAGTGACCCTGAACTCCCTTCTCTCTCAAAAAAAAATCAAAATGTCATTAATACCACAATGGGTAAAAAATGTGGGTTAAGTGGAGATGAACTCCTAAAATTTGTTGGAAAAAAGAAATGGAAAAAAAAGAAAAAGAAAGAGTAAAAGAAGGGAAAAGAGAAGAAAAAAAAGAAAAAGAGAAGAAAAAGATAGAATCAGAGCACATGAACTTGAATTGGCAAGACTACAACAAAAAGCATATGAAAATCAAAACCAGTTTGATCAATTTAAACAATTGAACAAAATGCTACTTTAAAAAAACAGAATCCATAGATTCATATCTTGCTAGATCTGAAGACATAGCACATGCTTGCAGGCTATCTAAAAAAGAATGGGCTAGAAGTTTGTCAGACCATCTTAAGGATCGTGCAATTAACATCTGTATCCAACTTAATAAACAAGAAAGAAATCAATATTATGTTGTAAAAGAGGCTCTTTTAAAACACTTTGGTGCTACGGGGGAAGAATAAAAAAAATTTCAACGGTACTCCAGATCACAAAGATGTATCAAGAATGTTTGCAACAAATATGTCTATGTTCTTTGATAGGTGGGTATCATTAGGTGGTGTTCAACAAACATATGCATTAAGAACACGTCATCCTTGATTCAATCATCAATGCATACAACGAACAAGTTCAAATATTCATTAAAGAACGTTGTCCTCGAACCATAGATGCACTAAAAATTTTGATTTGCCCATACAAAGCTGCCCATCCGAATCAGATACCAGTAGCAGACAAGTCTAGACCTGTCTAGACCAATAACAATACAATCCGTTTTTTATGCAAAGACCAGAAGAGATGAAGATTACATGATGAAGACAAATTATGACAAAACAGGAAGTAATGCAGGACAACATTTTAAAATGACAAACAAAATTTCTGAACAATTTTACACAACTTGTAAAAAAAACAACCAAAAAACAAAAAATTGTTATTTTAACACTAAAAATATTCAACGAGATGAGAAACACAATGATGCTACGAAAAAAAGAACACAACAATTTAAATCTCCAAATAACAAAGCTTTTTTGCTGAAACACAAGGTGATGATAAACTAGAACTTTTTACAGCATTTGTGGATAAACAAAGATTCAAAGTTTTAAGAGATTCAGAAACAAATACTCTACTAGTTTATCAAAATTATGTAGAACCACACTTGTATATTGGAAAAACAGGCTCAGTCAAAGATTTCAAAAGTAATATCCGTACACATCTAGTAACAATTATTTACATTGATATACCTTATTTCTCAGGTTGGTAAAAAGCATTAGTTTAAGATCAACCACTTGATGGTATTGATCTCCTAATTAGAAACATCAATGATGTTAAAAACTGCTCAAACTTGGATCTCTAGCAGTGGAGAAAGGAACATGAAATAAATAGATCCATGATGATTACAAGAGCACAACGCAGAAAAATGGATGACGCTGAAAAACTAGATTTAAAATTTTCACCTTCAACAACAAATGAAATGACAGTAAAATCAAAAGATGAAGAAAAATGAAAAAATTGAAGATTGAATTGATACTAAAAATTTCAGAGATGAAGATGAAAAAGAAGATGACAATTAAACAAATGAAGTGACAGCAAAACCAAAAAATGAAGACATGAAAAAAACAAAAAATGTAATTGCAAAAATTTCAAAGATGAGGATGAAGAAGAAGAAAATAAAAATGAACAAAAAATAACAAACTAGAAATTGAAGAGAGTTGGAAGAGAACGTGATGAAACCAGACAGAAGGAAAGTGAAAAAAAAAGAATTTGAAGATAATGTCTATGAGGAAGATCTAAATTTTGAAGAATCAGATCAAACAACTAACAACGACCAAGAACCATTAAAATTATCTGTGAACAATTTAAAAACCGAACAGTTGAATGGCGCCAACCTTTTAAAATTAATTCAGAATTATAAACAAAATACAAAGGCCATCATCACCAAACAGAAAGATGAAATCTACACTAGAGAAACAATTCTTAATAAAATGATTTGCCCACGATACACAATTTGCAGATCACATGGGATGTAGAAGAACTATAAATAGAATTTTGAATGACCTAAGATCACAAAAGATGTTAAACATTATGTCAAATCATGTTATTTTTGTCAAATCCATGGCTCAAAGATCCTTTCCTCATATCTCCGATTCAAACAGCTGCAATCTCAGAACTACCATTTCAGAAAGTTTCAGTAGACATTTTAGGTCCATTGCCAATACTATCCAACCGAGGGCACAAATACATTTTAACACGCATCAATTTGTGTACTCGTTTTCCAGAAGCTAAACCGTTAAAACGTACCACAACCAAAGATATAGCCGATACCCTGATCTCGATATTTTCTAGGATTGGTTACCCATTTTACAACTCCATATCACCCTCAAGCCAATGGTATGTGTGAAAGATTTAATGAAACTTTGAAAACTATGCTAAATTAAGTTGCACAACGTAATTTAGAAGAATGGGACAAGTTCTTACCTCTTTTACTTTTTGCTTACAGATAAATACCAAATGAAACAGCAGGCTTTTCACTATTCGAAATGTGTCACGGTTCAAATTGAACCTACGAACTCAGATTTGTTTAAATAGGGTGAAACTACAATTCTCTCGAATCCATTTTTCAACGTTTACCAAACAAATAAACATGCCGTATCAAACTATGGCTAAACATCGGTTTTAACGAGGTACACGGACGGACAAAATAAAGTGTTGGCGCTGATCCTAAGAGTAAGTCACAAGCTCCGACGAACCGCTGCCTATTTGCAGATTTAAAAATGGAAAACATTTGTTCATTGTCGCAACTATTTAACACGTTACGTCTCGACATTGCCATATTGCGGGGTAACAAAATAGAAGTGCTAGAACTGACGATATGCCATGAACAATACAAACGTCAAAAAAACATAAATCTAGAATCCCATTTAAATAACGACTATATTAACTGCTCTATAATAATAATTAATACGGCTGAACCATCGCTAATTGCTTTTTATAATTATTTAAATTTACCTTTGTTTAAAATTTTATGGTCAATTTCCAGAAAAAATGAATATCTACATATATCGCAAAGTACCAAGATTCTTAATTTTTCAAACAGATTGTTAATATACACAGTAGATCGTCGTTATAAACAATAAACTAAATTTTGGCTTTATCATTTTATTTCATTTAAAAAATAATCTTAGTGTTTTGCAATGTTGCATGTTGGCTCCTTAGTACTTTGGAGGTTCAATGGCAATTTAAAGGCCGGGCGAGCAGTTCAACATTATTTTGGGAATGTAGCCGCTATACCAGAAGAACCAACTGCTACAGCAATTGCGCTTTTGGTCTGAACTGTAGCCAAAATCAATGACAGGACGAAAAACTTAATCTGAAGTACTGTTACTCTGCCGAATAAAGGAAATAGTGAGTCGATTTGAATCCAGAAGTACCGTACTTGCCGAATCAGATCGAATATTTTCACCTTTTATATACTCATGTACTTGTGGATTCAAATCGACTCGCTGTGTTTTCTATTTGGCAGAGTAACGGTCCGTCTCTATGGACCAAAATGTGTTTCTGTGAATTACTTAAAAACAACTTAGTTTGCAATATTGTCTACTAAGATAGTACATAAATTCATAAATAAAACGAAAGAGTACACCAACATATCAAATTTTTTGTTTCATAAAATTGTATTTAGAATCAACGCTAGGAGAATTCGAATTTCCAATCATTCGCGATATTAATAATTTCCATAAAACATGCTTTAGATGATAGGAGTTGAAATTTTGTGACAGAGAGGAAGAGGTCAAAGATGCAAAAAAGCGTGACATCTTTTTACGACAGCCCTATAACCGTGCAATAAATATTTACTAATTTAAAATAACTTCATAAATACGTTTTGGTGATTTAAAATTTTCAAATATTTGAAATTGTAGCGAAATTAACATACAGTTGGTTGCAAAAAGTCTTGGAATTTAAAAATAAATAAAATTGTTTTTTTCATAAAAAATTTTGTTTAGTAACTTCACTTGCAGAAAATTTTGGTACCGTGAAATAAGACAATCATAATGACATAATCATACTGAGTTTTGTTTGATTTGGCTAGTCACTATATTTTTATTCCTCATTGCGAATTCGTGATGGCTTAAAATTTGTTTTAGTTCCTAGTTAGCTCTGTCGATAGAAGTGCCATGTCTCGCATTGCTATTACGCAGTGGCATGAATCTAATATTATATTTTATTGCTGATTTTTGATTATTGTTGTATACAGTATATTTTTAGATAATTTTACTCACTCGTTGAATCTCTCTACTCTCTTTCTTTTCCTTTCTATATATGGTGATTTCGACTTGATCTTCAATAACTTATCTTGTTCTTACACACTTCTCTTTTTAACTTAACACAATATTGTTTTTTTCCTACTCATACTTCTGATAACACTATTGATTTTATTATAGCTTCATCTTTTTCTAAGCCTATTAATATCTCTGCTAGCTCTGTTCCTTATTCTGATCACCTACTTATTGAATCTGTATTTCCTTTAGATTATCTTCCTTCTAATTCATCAATGTCTATTTCTAAAAAATGCTGGTCTTCTCTTAATAAAGATATTTTTTTCAATCTCTTACTGAAACTATTTTTGAATCTTCCTTATTTTTTGATGTTAATGATTTTGTCTATGCTTTTTATATCTACATTACTTCTATTCTTGATAAGCTTATTTTTCCTAAATCTTTTTTTACTTATAGGCTCTATTTTCGTAAGGCTCTTTGGTTCGACTATGCTTGTGTATTAGCTTAGAAAAGTATTAGAAGACTGGAGAAAGCCTATAGGTTAAATCCATCTAACTCTCTTTAATCTATCTATGAATCTGAATTAACTAATTATAAATATCTACTATTCTTTAAATACTCTACTTTTCTAAGAAATTCTATAATATTTGCTTCAACATCTAAAAATAGGTGTCTAAAATTAAAAATCCCCTCACTCATCTTTTTCTGCTCAACAGTTTCATGACTTTTTTATAAATAAAATTAATTCTTTAAGAACATCTAATTTAAATTTTTCTCCTCATAACTTTACGGAACTTACTACTGAATCTTTTTCTGTATTTACTCCTATAAATTTTCTAGAACTTACTAAAATTATTAATTCTATCTCATTTACAACATGTTTTTTAGATCTACTTTCTTCTATAACAACAACAACAACACACGTTTATACGACATTTTCCCCGAGATAAGGGGTTACCGTTTGGCTACCTATGATGAAACCGAAATACCCCTCGACGCCATTCACATCTTCACTCGCCTCAGTATCACGCAACCCCGCTTTCACTATGTCCTTCTCCAGTTGCTCTTTCCATCCCAATCGCGGACCCCTTCCTATCACTCCTTCAACCTCGAACTCAAACGCTTGCCTAATCCTGACCCTTTTATCTCTTCTCAACACATGTTCATACCACCGCAATCTCAATTTCATTATCAATGTCACAATGTCCTCATTCAGTTTCATCATCGACATCAGCTCTGTAATATTCCTCCTATTTTTCACTTTAACCCAACACATCATTTTCACCATAGCTCTTTCAGCCCTCTGCAGTACACTTTCCTCTTTTCTCCTCAACACCCATGTTTCACCACCATATACCATCGCTGCTCTCACACATGCTTTATATACCCTCCCTTTTATTTTCACTGACCATTACTTTCCACACAATACCCACCAAGTTCTCTAAATTTCATTTATCTCACACGAACTCTAGCCGTAACAGCGCTCCAACATCCTCCATCCGCGTTCAGCTTAACCCCTAAATAAACAAAGCTTTCCACTCTTTCAATACCACCACTCAACGCCGTCCTTGCGTCCGTCCTATTAATCACACCATGAACACATTTCTTACATATGAACGTGCCTTCCACCTTTTTCAGTACCCCCGTACACCACTACATCTCTTATGCACCCACTTCTTACATCTCACTATACCGAGTTAGCCTTCACTCTCCTGTCACATACCCCACAGGAGTCTATTTTACTTATCACTCGCTCTCCACCTTCCCCACTCACCATTGCCTTCGTCTTACCAATATTAACTTTTAACCCTTTCTTTTCGATAACACTTTTCCATCTGTCAAATTTTAACTGCAATTCTTCCATGCTATCAGCCATCAAGACTAAATCATCTGCATACAAAATCTCAAATAACAATTCCTCCATTATGTTTCCACACACAACATCCATCACAATTGCAAACAAAAACGGTGATAACACTGATCCTTGATGCACTCCTATCTTAACACTAAAAGCGTCCGACATCCCCCTTCCGACCCTCACCTTTGTTTTCGCCCCTTCATACAGCTGCATCACAGCTTTAACAAGTCTCTCATTCACTCCTTTTATCCTCAACGCCCATTCAATGACCTTCTTCGGTACTCGATCAAAAGCCTTTTCTAGATCCACAAAACACATGTACAATCTTCGTTTCTTCTTTCTATTATTTTCCTGCAACATTTTCACTATGAACAACGCATCCACCGTTTCCCAACCAGGCATAAACTCACACTGCATTTCATTAACTGTCACCACATTTCTCAACCTTATCT